AGTTTGAGTTGGGTTTTCTGTCATCTGCAACATAAGTAAAGTATAGGGTTTTGGGTGAGAGAAGAAGTCTTTGTTGGCATAAGAGCACCAAGATCACGCTGTGAGAGATGGGCAGTAGCAAGGGAGAAATTTATTCATCTTGTAAGTGACCCTGAGAACCTGGAGTTTTCCACAGGGATGAAGTAGCCCTCTCAGTGCTGGGACCCAGTGCAGAGGGCAATGCTGAAAGCAGCTTGATGCAAATGAGAGCACTGAGACCACACAAATAAAAGTAGAATAAAAATAAAAAGACTCGGAGTGTGGAAAGAAATGTTTTGTACCTTCTCCTGGATCCCACTGAGTTCATGATGTTCACAATCATCCATGAGTAAGACTTTCTTACTAGAGATATACCCACCAGAGGTACTGCCATTAACACATTGTATATATAGAGAGATTTATAGAAAATATCTGAAAGGAGACCTGTTTTGGTGATAGTGGGTATTTCATGGTAGTGGGATCTGGCCTTTATTTTATTTATTTATTTTTATTCTTATTTTATTTTTCAGAATTTTCTACAGTGACTATGACTTGTATAATAATAAAAACAGTTTTCAAGTACTGTACAGGCACACAAGGTTACAAGCACTCTTAACGAAAGTCACATGGCTAGCTGTAATCTGTAGGTCAAGATAGAGCTCAAAGTTGCTTAACTTCTTACCCTTTATATCCAACCCCAGTGTCTACCTTTGCAAAATTTTGGGACTAATGATACATGGAACCTAACTGAGATGCTGTGATTTAAATGAGAGGATTTTTTATTCAAATTAAGTACATATAGGATTCCAGCTTTAGTGGGCGTTATTGTCTCCCCCATATCCATTCCACTGTGGCTCCCCCATTGTACAGGGTAGATTCTAATTGGACTGAGTTTTTCCAGGTGATCCCATTTGTATCGCCCATGCTTTCCTGTCTGCTGAGTAAAATTCTCTCACTTCCATTTTATGAATTTTGTCAAGTGGCCCCTTAGTTATCTATAAATGTGTAATTCTAATTACACATAATTCCAGTGTTTCCATTTGGTGTTTGGAGGCTATCTTTAAGGAGTCTGAGATTTTCTCTCCCTTTTCCTGTTGACAAAGGGAGAAAAGCAAAACAATTTCTATAGTAGTATCATATGCAATAGTTTTTTTTGCAGTTATCCCTCCACATAATTATAACCAACACTCAACTGTCCCTTAAGAAAATTCATGACATGGCTTTCTAAGCAGAATTTAGAAACTAATTAATTACAATACAAAAGACTTCTTTACCAAAAATACATTCCAGGGCTCCTTTTATTTTTTTATAAATTTATTTATTTATTTATTTCTATTTTTGGCTGCGTTGGGTCTTCGTTACTGCATGTGGGCTTCTCTCTAGTTGTGGCGAGCAGGGGCCACCCTTCGTTGCAGTGCGTAGGCTTCTCATTGCGGCGGCTCCTCTTGTTGCAGAGCATGGGCTCTAGGCACACGGGCCTCAGTAGTTGTGCCTCGATGGCTCTAGAGTGCAGGCTCAGTAGTTGTGGCTCACGGGCTCAGTTGCTCCGCGGCATGTGGGATCTTCCTGTACCAGGACTCGAACCCGTGTCCCCTGCATTGGCAGGTGGAATCTCAACCACTGCACCACCAGGGAAGCCCAAGGGCTCCTTTTAAAAAGCAAACTTCTGATGCACATAATTAAAGAATCATAGACCTTGATGGGTCTTTTATGATCATCTTTACTAATAAATTGAGACATGAAGTATTCTTTTCAAGGGAATGATCACTTTGTTATTTTCACCCAGTGTTTTCACCCAATGGGATCTATGTAGCCATAATAAAGAACAAGGACATTCTATATGAGCTGAAATGGAGAGGTGCTCAGAATAGAATGTGAAGTTGAAAAAGAAAGTTGCAGGCTGATCAATCTTAGCATCTCTAGATGTGGGGCAACCAGACAACTGTGATGGAATAGCACTAGCTGTGTATTCTTGCCAAAAAGTGGAACCTGAATCTAACCAGACCTCTAGAGCTAAGTTTCATTTATAGGAAATACAAAGAAAAGAGGAATACTTTAAATGATGCCACAAGGAAACAGACCCAGAAAATGGAACAGTGCACAGGACAGTTGGTTTGTACAACTAGTCAGTGGCAGGGGAAAAGGAGAGAAGACTGTCCTCAATTAAAAGAGACAAGTGTCATAACAACCAAATGCAATGTAGGGAGCTGTTTAGGTCTGGACTTAACCTATAATAAAAGGACATTTTTGAGATAATCAGGGGAATTCGATTATGGACTGAAGAGTCAGGTGCTGCTAAAACATCATTATTAATTATGTCTTGTGTGATAATGGTATTATGGTTGTATATAGAATGTCAAATGTTTGAAAACAAGATGCACACTGAAGTCTGTAAGGGTGAAATAACATGACATCTGGGATTTGTTTTAAAATGAAAGTTTGATGATTTTAAATTTGTGTATTGGGAGTAAGTACTATTCTTTGCTTTTGATATGTCAGAATTTTTTTTTTTTTTTTTTTTTTACTGTACGCGGGCCTCTCCTGTTGCGGAGCACAGGCTCCGGACGCACAGGCCCAGCGGCCATGGCTCATGGGCCCAGCCGCTCCGCGGCATGTGGGATCCTCCCAAACAGGGGCACGAACCCGCGTCCCCTGCACCAGCAGGCGGACTCTCAACCACTGCGCCACCAGGGAAGCCCAATATGTCAGAAAATGTTTATATAAAATAGTAAATAGAAAATACAAGGTGCAAAATGTATGTATGGTATGCTCTTTTGCTTAAGAAAGGAAGGAATAAGAATATATATTTTATTTTCTTGTGTTTGCATTGGTAGGATACACAAAAGACATGACAGTAGAAACCTATAGGTTGGGTTGGGGAAATTAGTGGACTTGGAGGGGTGGGAATGAGGCTTCTTAATGTAAGCTTTTTATATTGCTTTAAACTTTAGCCATTTGGATGTATTACCTAAACAGTTAAAAAAAAAAGAAATAAAAGTTAAATGAACATGACAATGTTCAGAAACAGTCCTTTATACACAGAATAAAAGAAAGGGGTTAGAGTAGATTTCTAGGCTCCTTCATGTCTAGACTTCAGTGAATTAATACATTGTTAATGTTTTATAAAGTTGGACCCAGTAGCAATTCTAGAGATGAACAGAAAACAGAGTAATAATAATAAAAAACAAAACAAAAATCAGAGCACAAAATCTGATGGCTAAAACTTTTAAGAGTGTTGCTTGAAGTCATGCTGTTAGTAAATCTAATCTCTGAACCCGTGTTTAATCAAGTCTGCCTTACACTTGAATATGGGCATTTGCTGGTTGTTTTGAGATATGTGGGCAGACATATTAAGGGCAGATATGAAATTCACGAAACATGGTTTATAATGGAAAAAATCTGGAGCTTAGGGGACTCAATTCTTATTTGAAATGACCAATCATGTACCTTTGGGCAAATCAATCTTTTCAGGTCTCAGTTTCCCTTATATATACAATGAAGAAATTGAACATGATCTCTTGAGTAACTGCTAGCTCTGTGGCACTATGGAAGTACACACATAGAACAAGCTGGATATTTATATTACATGCATTTAATAAGGTTTAAAGTGAATTATAAGGACTTCCCTGGTGGCGCAGTGGTTAAGAAGCCACCTGGCAATGCAGGCGACACGGGTTCGAACCCTGGTCCGGGAAGATCCCACATGCCGCGGAGCAACTAAGCCCATGCGCCACACCTACTGAGCCTGCACTCTAGAGCCCGCAAGCCACAACTACTGAGCCCACGTGCTACAACTACTGAAGCCTGCGCACCTAGAGCCTGTGCTCTGCAACGAGAAGCCAGTGCAATGAGAAGCCCGTGCACCGCAACGAAGAGTAGCCCCCACTCACCACAACTAGAAGAAAATAAAATAAAATAAATAAAGTGAATGACAAGGAAATTCAGGCAGAGAAGACAGAGAAAGGCCACAGGGTTTTCAGAAACTATTTCATCGTGAGCTCACTTCCCTTTTGTAAATAACCATTGGCTTTTAAGGTTTCCAGACAAAAGTTACTCTCCCAGGGCTGAGATTGTTTGGGTCTGAGATGTTACCTTAGTGATGGAGAGTGTGGCTGGAACTCAGTACTTTCTGACAGTTAATGCCCGAAGACTGTGGGGTGGGAGGAGAGGGGACATCTTGTGTATATGAGAGGAAATAGAACATTGAGGTCCCCTCAGTTCCCCCCACAGGAAGGGGAAAGAAGCATTGCAGAAAGGAATGCATTTTTCCTAAGTGAAAGAGTTTGAAAGTTCAGGTCAAAGTCAGAATATTAGAGCAGGGAGCTCTGCATATATCACCTAGCACAATTTCCTCATTTTATAAACTTTATAAATGAGGAGACAGGTCTAACAAGGTTATATGACATAGCCCAATTCGTGTTAGGGCACAAGCTAAGAATTAGGCTCATGACTGGAGTGGAAAGGGCACCTAAACATGAGTATAAGGAATAGGCCATTCATGGTGGTATTTCCCACCTCCTAGTCCAGTTCCTGACACATAGTAGGTGCTTCATAAACATTGGTCACAGGACTCACCAGTTGACTGACTTGACTGAATGAATGCATGAGTGATACATTTCTACCTGTGTTTCCAATATATGCTGTCCATTTCAAACAGAGGACTATGTATTATTTCACCGGAGACGGTAGAGGGCTCACTCTACTTGCCAAGAGACCCTTGACGAAGTAACCCTTTTCTTCCTCTGAGTATTGCTTCCTCTTTGTTGATGCGGACAGAATAAATGTCAGAGTCCTCACAGGATGTGTGTGGTCTAGCATAGGAGAGAAGCGAGGTTCCCTTTGCTGTCATCGTAGACTTGACAGTGTTAATAGAGGAGTGATTGGTCGTCAGACATCTGGTGTGCTGGGCCTGCAGTTGGGAGAGTGGCCACTACTCCTGTGACTGGGGAGGAGAGACAGTTCCAGGAAGTACCCAGTTCAGCTGGAGAATTAAAACGGCACCTAAACAGAGCTGTTCTTTGCCTTTTCTTCTTCAGGACCCATGTTTTCACATTTTTCCTTTGACTGTGTCCTGCTCTTGCTGCTACTACTTACAAGTAAGTCTGGATTTTTGGAACTGGATAGTGCAAGATGAAGATGCAAGGATGGTCATCGTAATGTTAGCAAGAGCAAAAGTTTGGAAGCAACCTAAATGTCCACCAGTAGGGCAGTGGGTAAAGAAATTATGATATATCCATGATACAAACAGTGATGCTGATGAAACATAATGATATGAGATGTCTGTAAGTCATCAGGTGAATTGAAGAAAGCAAGGAGCAGAATAATGGGTATATTGGACTTCTGTGTGTGTGTCTGTGTGTGTGTTGCAGGGGAGTGGGAATACATGAATGCTTCTTAATGAATAGACTCTGGGAACGGGAGCTGGGAAATGGAAAAGAGCAGGGAGAGGGAGTAGAGTTTTCATATACTTTTTATGCTGTTCGAATATGTGTGTGTACATATATATATATAAATTAATTTTAAACCTCAGAACAGCCATACACTAACTTCTTATTCAGCCAAGGGTTTTTATTTATTATGTGCCTGGTGCTTGAAAAACAAAAGAGATTTGTGTTAGGATAACTGCCCTGTGTTGGTGAACAGACAACTAGCCCAGATGGGTGAGCTCTTTTCCTGGCTGACAGTTACCCATTGTCTGATTGTCTATTTGCATCAGCACTGCCCTCCGGTGTTCATAGGACCGGCCACAGTTCTCTCCTGGGGCACTGGTTTTCAGAGTGAGGTTTTGAGACCAGGCATATCAGCATGTCCTGGGAACTTGTTAGAAATACAAATTTTTGCCCCCCCCCACCCCCCGCCAAGCTATTAAGTCAGGAGCTCTGATTAATATTTAATCAGATTAATTAACTCTAAACTCTGACGGTTGAGCCCAGCCGTCTGTGTTTGAACAAGGCTTCCTGGAGATTCCAGTGCCCCTCAAGTCTGAGAATCATTGCTGTAGTGAACTGTCCTCCAAACAGGATAGCAGTAGTGGTTTCCTCTTTATTCTGCAAGGCATTGCTTGCAGTTTTTTTGAAATGGAGCAGTCTCCCTCATTGCTCTCCTTCCCTCTTTATGCAGGGTCTTTGGAAGGAGTATGTGTGTCTGAGGTGGGTCAGGATGCTGATCTGCCCTGCGCCTACTCTCCACCCACCCCTGAGGATCTCGTGCCTGTGTGTTGGGGCAAGGGACCCTGCCCTTTGTTTCAGTGTCACAGTTTGGTACTCAGCACTGATGGAAAGAACTTGAGCTATCGGATATCCAGCAGATACCTACTAAAGAGGAATTTCCGCAAAGGAGACGTGACCTTGACCATAAAGAATGTGACTTTAGCTGACAGTGGGACCTATTGCTGCCGGATCCAATTCCCAGGCCCAATGAATGATCAAAAATCAAACCTGGAGTTGGTCATCAAACCAGGTGAGTGGACCTTTGCATACTTTCTTTCTGAATGAGATTTGCCTGTGGATCATATTAAATACACTGATTGGTCTCACCTCTGGTCTTCCCAATTAAAGCCCTCAGGTTGGGCCCCTAAGACCTAAAGTTTAACAGGCCCCACCAGCAGTGCCCAGCCATGTTTAATTCCCTCCATCTATTTTGAACCTCATGGCCAGGATCTAGAGAATGGAGGAAAGGCCTAGATCAGAGGTCTGAGTACCTGAATGGTCATTAAAATCACCTGGGGAACCTTTTAACTCCCACAGATGCTTGGGCTCCACCCCACAACCAGAAAAATCACCATCTCTGGAGGTAGAGCTTGAGTGCGGGGGTTTTACAAAGTCTACCCCTGATGATTCTCCCCCCATGTGCAGCCAGGATTGAGAACCACTGGACTCTGCATGTGTTGGGGAGAGGGAGCACGTGTGCTTGCATGTTTTAACATTTATAGAGCATGTACTTAGTGGCTGATGGAGCTAAGTTCAAATATGACACTGCTTCTTACCAGCTGTGTAATCTTGGGCAAGTTATTTAAGCTCTGTGACCTCCTCCTCTGTAAAATATGATACTGCCTACCCTATAGGCCACTGGAAGGATTTTATGAGATGTTTGATGAAAATCATTTACTGTGGCTGTAAGTTCCATTAATAACAATTAGACTGTGATAATGATGACTGTAACACACCTCTGTCAGATGTTTGGAGTGTCATACACTCTCAACGAAGGTGTTCAGGTAGGTTTGGAAGTTGAGCATGTGTTTCTCTTCTTTTGTTGTGTTTACAGTTGTTTCTGCTGCCCCTTTGATTCCCTGCAACAAGCTCTCTGCTCTCAGAGAAGCCTCATCCTTACGTTGGTTTCTGTCTTTAGCCAAGGTCACCCCTGCTGGGACTCCATGGAGGGACATCACTACAGCCTTTCCAAGGACGCTCACCACCGAGGGACCTGGCTCAGGTAATTACATATGGGGTATAGGAGGAAGCCTTTAGTTGGTTTCTGAGCTAAGAGGATTTTGAATATGGGGAAAACATGAGAAAACAGTTTGAGTTTTCTCAAACTGTGCACCCAAGATAGTGTTTGAGGTGAGGGAGGTGGTGGAAGTAAATTTGTGCTGGGAAAAAGGATCCCTGGGCTAGGATTCTAAATTAGTCAGGAGTAGCCCTCAGACCTGGGCCAAAGCCTTTCACTTCTCTGGAAAGCAGCTTCCTCTTCTGTCTGAGGTATGGGTTCAGAGACTTTTGGATCTCACCACCCAGTATAAATCCCAACCCCCAAAAAAGAATTTTGATGAGCTATGTATTTTGCCAAACAAGGAAAGAAAAATTTCTACTATTGCCACCCTGCATTAAAAAAAAAAAAGGACACTTTTAAATTAAATAAGTTTAATCTAATGAAAAACTCATTATGCTGTCCTTATTATTTTTTGATTTACTCCTGGACTGGTGATATTTTCATGAACTGACCCCAGTCCATGTTTGGTGTTATCTGGATTAGGTGATTTCAAGAATCCCTTCTAACTGGAATGAAGTCCATCATCTTCCTCAGATTTTGACCTCAGAAGGAGCAGCTAAGTTCTTCAACTAATTCAACAAGGACTTTTCCCTGCCGCTTTGAAAGAGAATATAGGGTCGAAAGAGCAGACCTCAGGTCACGTTGATCAGGGAGGTTAATCTTAAATATTTCCTGTCAGAGTCCTGGTCTCCCTAAACTCTCTGGAGCTCAGTCTTTCATTCTGTAAAATGAGGTTAATAATAGGTAAATTCCAAATCCTAATCTCATAAATCTCAGATTTAAATAAGGAAGTGTGTCTAAAGTGCTTAGCCCAGCGTCTGATCATGGTACATACTCAGTACGTGTTAGTTAATGTCATTATCGGTAAGATCCAGAAGCAGAATGAGATTGTGGTTAAGTATGTCAGTGACAGGCAGGATGGGTTCTAATGTCAGCTTTTTGTATTAGTTTCATGAACTCAGTTATGTTGCTCAAGCTCTGTGAGGCTCAATTTCCTTACCTCTACAATGAGGGTAATTCCAGTGCCTATGTCATAAGATTGTTGTAAAGATTGATGTGATCATGTATGTAAAGCACTCAGCATAGTGCCTAGCCCAGAGAAAGCACTCAAATATTAATTATTATTATAGATATTAACATCAGCTCTCTAGAGGTTGAATCTTTGGTGGTTCTTTTGTCACTGGTAGCCAACATCTCTTATGAAATTAATGAGGAAATTAAATATGGTGGAAACAGATGATCGCCCGCGTAGTGGGCTAACCAAATCATACAAGTGTTCATCATATGCCATTGTTATATTTTAAAGAATCCTACAACTGTAGACCTAGAAGAGACTTGAAGGATCCCACTTTCCCATCTCGTGTTTCAAGGTTCTTTACAACATCACTCCCAAGTTGGCATTTGCTGTATGCTTACACACCTTCTGAGATGGAGAGGTAGCTTCCTCACAACACAGTGCATTTCTTTTAGAAGTGTCTATACCATAACCAGAAGTGTCCTTCCCTTCAGTTTTTACTTGTTTGTTCCTTCCATTTAGGGCAACAGAAATGGTGCCATCTTTTGCATCTGAGAATATAGGCAGAGTACCTACAATCTCTGAGCTTTTCAGAGGCCTGAGAAAATACTTAAACAAAGAAAGGCAATGGCTCCAAACTATGAAAATAAAATGGAAAATTGAAATTAATTAGTATTTAATGACATGACTATAATATGTAATATTATTTCAGTTAGTTACCTGCAAGTCAACTTGTGTGTAGTTACACCTTTTCTTTAGTTTGTAATGTGGGTACTTATTTTTTTTTCAGTTTTGCAATTCTTTTTTTTTTAAATTTTTTTTAACATCTTTATTGCAGTATAATTGCTTTACAATGTTGTGGTAGTTTCTGCTGTATAACAAAGTGAATCAGCTATACCTATACATATATCCCCATATTCCCTCCCTCTTGTGTCTCCTTCCCACCCTCCCTATCCCACCCCTCTCGGTGGACACAAAGCAGCGAGCTGATCTCCCTGTGCTATGTGGCTGCTTCCCACTAGCTATCTATTTTACATTTGGTAGTGTATATATGTCCTTGCCACTCTCTCACTTCATCCCAGCTTACCCGTCCCCCTCCCTGTGTCCTCAAGTCCATTCTCTATGTCTGTGTCTTTATTCCTGTCCTGCCCCTAGGTTCTTTAGAACCTTTTTTTCCCCTTTAGATTCTATATATGTGTTAGCATACGGTGTTTGTTTTTCTCTTTCTGACTTACTTCACTCAGAAAGTATGGCAAACTCTAGGTCTATCCACCTCACTACAAATAACTCAATTTCATTTCTTTTTATGGCTGAGTAATATTCCATTATATATATATACCACATCTTCTTTATCCATTCATCTGTTGATGGACACTTAGGCTGCTTCCATGTCCTGGCTATTGTAAATAGAGCTGCAAAGAACATTCTGGTACATGACTCTTTTTGAATTATGGTTTTCTCAGGATATATGTCCAGGAGTGGGATTGCTGGGTTGTATGGTAGTTCCATTTTTAATTTTTTAAGGAACCTCCATACTGTTCTCCATAGTGACTGTATCAATTTACATTCCCACCAACAGTGCAAGAGGGTTCCCTTTTCTCCACACCCTCTTCAGCATTTATTGTTTGTAGATTTTTTGACGATGGTCATTCTGACTGGTGTGAGGTGATACCTCATTGTAGGTTTGATTTGCATTTCTCTAATGATTAGTGATGTTGGGCATTCTTTTATGTGCTTGTTGGCACTCTGTATATCTTCTTTGGAGAAATGTCTATTTAAGTCTTCTGCCCATTTTTGGATTGGGTTGTTTGTTTTTTTGGTATTGAGCTGCATGAGCTACTTGTAAATTTTGGAGATTAATCCTTTGTCAGTTGCTTCATTTGCAAGTATTTTCTCCCATTCTGAAGGTTGTCTTTTTGTCTTGTTTATGGTCTCCTTTGCTGTGAAAAAGGTTTTAAGTTTTATTAGGCCCCATTTGTTTACTTTTGTTTTTATTTCCATTTCTCTAGGAGGTGGGTCAAAAAGGATCTTGCTGTGATTTATGTCATAGAGTGTTCTGCCTGTATTTTCCTCTAAGAGTTTTATAGTGTCTGGTCTTACATTTAGGCCATTCACATTTAGGTCTTTAATCCATTTTGAGTTTATTTTTGTGTATGGTGTTAGGGAGTGTTCTAATTTCATTCTTTTACATGTAGCTGTCCAGTTTTCCCAGCACCACTTATTGAACAGGCTGTCTTTTCTCCAGCGTATATTCTTGTCTCCTTTATCAAAAATAAGGTGACCATATGTGCGTTGGTTTATCGCTGGGCTTTCTGTCCTGTTCCATTGATCTATATTTCTGTTTTTGTGCCAGTACCATACTGTCTTGATTACTGTAGCTTTGTAGTATAGTCTGAAGTCAGGGAGTCTGATTCCTACAGCTCCGTTTTTCTTTCTCAAGATTACTTTGGCTTTCTGGGGTCTTTTTTGTTTCCATACCAATTGTGAAATTTTTTGTTCTACTTCTGTGAAAAATGCCCTTGGTAGTTTGATAGGGATTGCATTGAATCTGTAGATTCAATGGGTAGTATAGTCATTTTCACAATGTTGATTCTTCCAATCCAAGAACATGGTATATCTCTCCATCTGTTTGTATCATCTTTAATTGCTTTCCTCAGTGTCTTATAGTTTTCTGCATATAGGTCTTTTGTCTCCTTAGGTAGGTTTATTCCTAGTTATTTTATTCTTTTTGTTGCAATAGTAAATGAGAGTGTTTCCTTGATTTCTCTTTCAGATTTTTCATCATTAGTGTATAGGAATGCAAGAGATTTTTGTGCATTAATTTTGTATCCTGCTACTTTACCAAATTCATTGATTAGCTCTAGTAGTTTTCTGGTAGCATCTTTAGGATTCTCTATGTATAGTATCACGTCATCTGCAAACAGTGACAGCTTTACTTCTTCTTTTCTGATTTGGATTCCTTTTATTTCTTTTTCTTCTCTGATTGCTGTGGCTAAAACTTCCAAAACTATGTTGAATACTAGTGGTTAGAGTGGACAACCTTGTCTTGTTCCTTGTTTTTCTTTCTGACTTACTTCACTCTGTATGGCAGACTCTAGGTCCATCCACCTCACTACAAATAACTCAATTTCATTTCTTTTTATGGCTGAGTAATGTGGGTACATTTAATATGCTTGCTATAAAGTGGAGAGGAGCCTTAACAAGTAGGAGTCCTAAGGGTCTTTGAAGCTCCTAAACCCACTTTGAACACAGAATAAATGCAATCTCTCTTCCACCTGAAGAAGGCAGGACTGGATCATGGATGAATCCTTAGCTTCCGAGGTAGACTTGGTTTGAATCTCAGATTTGCCAGTTAATAGCTGTGTGATTTGGACAAAATACTTCTCTGAGACTATTTCTTCATTTAAAAATTGAGAAAATAATAGTACCTACCTATTGTGGTGAAGATTAAAAGATATTGTGCACATAAAGTGTGAAGCACTATGTCTGGCACATAATACATGCTAGATGGTAACTATTACATTTATATACTTTTAAAATCATCACGTGCCTCCCCCATTGTCATCTCCCCCACCCCCCAGTCTCGGGTCTTCTAGGAAAAACACTGTAACTTCCTCCAGCTGTCCCACGCATCTTGGTTGATGTCTACCTATGTGAAAATAAGGTGTGATAACCCAACAGTGCTCTATTTTATTGATCATTTTCACTGTAAAATGAAATTAAAGAAAAATAAGTTAGACAGTCTTACCATTTAAGCCAAGAAAAGTAATTATAGGGAAGCAGAAACTGGATTTACACTAGAAAATGTTGTGTGTGGTTAAGATGCATGTTTACTTAGTAGTTCCACCAGTGTGGTTTTTAAATTCCTTTTGGGAAATAGGAGCTAAGGTAAGTAGAAAATGATCTCTTTCCTTTTTTTTTTTTTAAACTTTAGGCTGAGAATATGCTTTTGTAATATTAAAATCAGAGTCTGTAAACCAGTTCTACATTAAAAGGTTTAGGCTTCTAAGCTTCCAGAAAGTGACCTTGACATTTAGAAAGTTTCAGATCCTCTGACTGACACAGAAAACTACGTTGGCATGCTTAATCTTCCCAAAGCTGACAACTTATTGGTTTTTAGAATGCAGTGTTTACGAGGTCAGGGCCTGTGCGCATCTTGTTCCCTGTTCTGTCCCTGTCCCCCGTGCCTGGCATAGAGTGGGGGTGTAGTACATGTTCATTGAATGGATAGGCAGATGACTAACTAAATGGATAAAAAGGAAAGAAAGTGAGCTGGCAGTGTGGAGGCTTCGTAATCACAGTGCCGAGATGAGCCTTGTTGGAGGCAGCACAGTTAAGAGTGTGTGCTTAAAGCCACGTGGACCTAAATTGGAAGGCCATTTCTGTTATTCACTAAGCTGTGTGACTTTGGGTAAGTCACTTAGCTTCCTAATTCTCAGCTTCTTCATCTGTGTAATGGGACTAATAGTCCCTACTTTAATATAGTTGTTTTGAATGCTAAATGAGATGCTTCCCTTGAAGAATTTAGTACAATGCCTGTTCATGGTAAATTATAGTTACAGTTATTATTATTTTCAATTTTTTAGGGAACAAAATACCCTGTCTTACTCTTAATGAGTAAATGTTAAATTTTTTTTAAAGAAAATTAACTTTCGTTACCTTTCAAATTCTAACCATGCCACATCTTCTTTATCCATTCATCTGTTGATGGACATTTGTACAATGGAATGTTACTCAGTCATAAAAAAGGATGAAATAATGCCATTTGCAGCAACATGGATGGACTTTGAGATTATCATACTAAGTGAAGTAAGCCAAACAGAGAAAGGCAAATATCATATGATATCACTTATATGTGGAATCTAAAAAAAATGATACATACGAACTTATTTACAAAACAGAAATAGACCTACTGACATAGAAAACAAACGTATGGTTACCAAGGGGGAAAGGGAGAAGGGAGGGATAAATTAAGAGTTGGGGATTAACATATGCACACTACTATATGTAAAACAGATAATCAACAAGGACGTACTGTATAGCACAGGGAACTATACTCAATATTTTGTAATAACCTATAAGGGAAAAGAATCTGAAAAAGAATATATATATATTCTGAATCACTTTGCTATACACCTGAAACTAATACAACATTGTAAATCAACTATACTTCAATTAAAAAAATGAGCAAAATAAATATTAAAGAACAGTTATTTGATCTAAAAAAAAGTCTAATTATAATGCCTGCCTATGTGTCATCAGTGTTGTTGGAATTTTGCAGACCTCTTTAGGGCCCTGAGGGCACAACAAACCACATATTCAAAATAGGTTTTCCTGGAAGAAGTCTCCATTTCCTAGAACATAAGTAGTTGGGTACATCATCTGGACGAAAAAAGTGTGGTCATCCTGAAGTTGATTTGTAAGTGTTCAGTAAGTTTTGTTTGTCTCTTAGTTAATTATTGTGAAGAGTATGGAATAGAATTAATTTCAAATAGGATTATAGGTAGCTTTTAAGATTTTAAAAAAACTCATATAAAAGAAAGCATTCTTAACTGTTCTACTGGCTATTTTTCTTCTTTGTGGCAGAGACACAGACACTGGAGACCCTCCATGATAAAAATCAAACAGTGAGTAACTGTGTGTGTGAGCTGACCTTATGCTAAACTCAGAGGAAAAAAGTATGGCTTTAGGCTTCCTTCCTGCCCACTCATTCCTTGGGGAAAAATGCCTTAATCTCCCTTGGCTTCAGGTTCCTTGGCTGTAACATGTTGCTGATAACTGTTGTAACTGCGAGTCCTGTTGTAAGGATGGAGTGGGGTGAAGCATGTAAAGTGCCTGTCACATAGTAGGTGCTGGAAGACCAAAAGGAAGAAGCATTAGCATTTTGTCCTTATTCTCAAATTTCACAGCTGTATACCACTGCGGAGGGTTCGGACACCCTCCATCACCCCAGAATATGTTTCTCCTTGCTTCCATTGCAACCCTAATGAGAAAGATTGTTTGTTTAAATTTATTTATTTATGATAAGACACCAGGCAAGAATATTCTAAGCCAAGAACTTAGGTATCTAAGTAAAAATAAAGCAGTATTTTAATCAACCACCATTTTAGTGTCTCCCACCTTCTCAGAGTAAAAGGGAAAACCACTAAAACTGGGGTCCCCATTCCCCGGACCGTGGACCGGTACCGGTCTGTAGCCTGTTAGGAACTGGGCTGCACAGCAGGAGGTGAGCAGCGGGCGAGCAAGCGAAGCTTCATCTGCCGCTCCCCATCGCTCCCCATCGCTCGCGTTACCGCCTGAACCATCCCCCTCCATCCCCCCCGACCCCAGTCTGTGGAAAAATTGTCTTCCTTGAAACGCCAAAAAGGTTGGGGACCACTGCATTAGAGAACAAGCTGATAGCAGTGACTGGAAAATTCTTTGAGGACGTATCCAGGAGTCTGCATTCATTTAACTCAATCTCTGACTCAGTGTCAAGCATTTTGTGTTTGTCCTGTCCTCTTTGCAGTCCAGGTCTGCCTTTTCAGTACCTCTGTGTGCCCACAGTGCTTACTGCAAGTAACCTTGCACGGTGCACTCCTGCAGTAAATGTCTGTTGAATAAATGGAAGACTTAATTCCTTGACGTTGTTTTAAAAGTGTTTACCATTACTCTTTTTAAAGGAAGAACATGAAGTGAAATTTTAGAAGCAGTATGTTTGCTGTGACTGAGTTAACAAAATATCTAATTAATTAGAGCAATAGCAATAATAGCTACCACTGATTGAGATTATCCTGTACCAGGCTCTGTGCCAAGCATTTTCTGGTTTTCGTCACTTAATTTTCCTGATAACTCTACACAGCTCTTCCTGATGACACAGCTGTTTGGTGACAGAACTGGGATTTGAACCCAAGACAGTCTGGCTGCAAATTCCTAGCTTTTAAATCACTGTCTTTCTGTGAAAGTTGGGGTTTCATGACAAGACACCAAATTTAGACCACTCTGAAACTCCCTGGGAACACCAGGGAATCGTCAATGAACAAGGTCCCACTTTTTATTTGAGGAAAGGGGAGTCCGTTTACTAAGGCGGCTTCTCCACCCACAGCACAGACAGGCACCTCTTATTCCCTTGCTAACTCCAAAGATTCAGCTAATTCCTTTCTTTGGGTGGTTTGAGGCTTGTCTAGAAGGGGACAGATTATGAGTCATTTCAAGGTCCCTGCATTCCTGAGATACTGTGAAAGGGATGGTCCCATGCGTAAGTCATGAGACTGGCTGGGCAGACAATGGATTTCTGGTCATTTGCTGCAATTCTGTTTGTGTTTCCATAGGAAATATCCACACTGGCTAATGAGTTACAAGACATGGGCGCCACCACCAGAATAGGCCTCTACATCGGAGCAGGGGTTTCTGCTGGTCTGGCTCTCGTTCTTATCTCTGGTGCTTTAATTCTCAAATGTAAGTCATTTGATGGTGCTTCTCTCTCCATCTGATAAGGAACTGTTAATATAGGAACCAACACAAACCTAAGATAGAACTATTAGTTTATATTTATACCTACAGGTGATTAGAATAAATACTCTTTAGTCCTTCCAAACCTCAACAATAATAATAGCTCATTTTTATTCAGTGCTTACCATGTAACAGGCATGTTTTATATTTATTTTTGTCACCATCTTATATAAGGTAGATAGCACTGTTATCCCTATTCTTATAGCAGAGTAGAGTAATGTTTAGAGACAGTAAACTTTCAAGGTTTTCTCAAGGTTTCAGAATCAATAAGTGGCAAAGCTGGAATTCAAATTCAAGCAGGTTGATTCTAATACCTGTTTTTTTATCTTTTGTTAAAAAAATAAACCTTTTAAATTCATGAACATGTCCAGTTTTATTAGGAAGCACAACAACGACAATCACTTTCTTCTGTGCATTTTTCTATCTTATTTATTTCTCAGGCATGGTTCTTTAAAGAGGGGTAGCAGGTTCCTTTAACACTGGGTCATGCCCAGAGATGCAGCATTTGTATTTTCCTCCATTGTGGCACTCAGCACACATATTTTATTTCTAAGTTACTTATCTTTATTAAAAAAAAATTAAGTATGATTTTTATGCAATAAACTGTATATTTAAAGTGTGTTCAACTTGATGAATTTCAATAGATGGTTTCACCCAGGAAACCATCACCACAATCAATGCCCAAACACTTCTATCACCCCGGAAGCCTCACATACTTTTATAACTGTGATATATTCTCTTCTCTTTGGTGCAGAGACCAAGGCCTTATACCACTATTATTTTATCAGCCTTTCTTACTAATACATAAACACCAACTATGTGTAGGGTTACAAACCATTCCAAATTTTCCCATGATTGAAGGAGGTTCCTAATGTGTGGGTTTTCACTGCTAAAACTGGAACGGTCCAAGGAAAATTGGGATGAGTTGCTCATCCTGTGTGGCTTGAAGCTGCCAAGTGCTTTATGTGCATTAAATCCTCATAACTACCCTGTTGAGAAAGGTACTAATATTATTCTCATGTACCAGTTGGAGAACCAGTGTGCTAAAAGGTTAAGTAACTTGCCCAAAGCTACACAGTTAATTGATAGAGGATTTGAAGCTGGGGCTGTCTTGCTCACCATTTTGTCACTCTGCCATTAATGGTAAATGGATTGTTGAGAGGAAGAAGCTACTCACCCCCACTTACCTGGGTTTATGGAGAGATAGCAGTGGAGTTTGGAAATTGACCGCATGAATATGGAGTCTACAGGTTGATAAGGAGCAATGACCACACCCACTTTTTGAGGTTTGCCAAGGCCTGGATATTAGGGACTGTTCTGGTTTGTGTAGAGGGTATGAAAGCAGGGTGATGAGGAGTGGGAGAAGTCATGTTTTGTGCACACATAATGATTACTCCCAAAACATGACTACCTGGAAAAATAGATGGGAAAGTTGTATTCGGTTTGCAGTCTTTTCCCTAGAAGTTGCTGGAGAAAATCATACAACCAAGGTGATAGGTTTTTAAGTCATGACATCAAAGCCATAAATTGGTACTCAGTAATGGCCAGCAATCCTGTATGTTTCTAGTGCACTGTCTGAGATGAGCATCACATACTTCGTTGCTGCTCAAATCTCCCTCGCCTCTCACTGCACTGATGAAGTATTAAAAGCCTGTTTCAACCACTTTGCCTCAGCCAAGACTTTGTTCTTCCTTTGATCACTTTCTCCAGAATCATCTCTCTCTCCATTCCTGTTTATGCTATTTTTATTAGCATCAAAATATGGCCTAGTTCACACATTTCTCTCCAGCGACTCCCATTTCTCTGCTCTCCTTTACAGCTGTATTTCTCAGATGAGTTGTTCCTACATCTCACCCCTCTGCACTCTTTTAACCACCCCCCCTCCCAATTTAGCTTCTACACCTGAAGTGCCATGGAAATAGTTTCAGTCAGGCTCACCAGTGACCTCCATTTTGCTAAGTCCTATAGCTACCTCTGTCTTCATTATAGTACGTCTTTCAGCAATAACTAAGTTGACTCTCACTCGTTCTAAAAAGTCTTCCTTCTCTTGGCTTCTGAAACACCACTGTCTTCACTAGCCGCTCCTTTCAGTCACTTTTGTTATTTTCTCTTCTTCAGCATGATCTTTAGATGTTGTGATACCCCAGGGCTGGCCCTTTTCCTCTCTCCTTGCCCTCTGGCTGATGACGACCTATATTCCCATAGACTTAAATGTCATCCTTAATTTCTCTCTCCAGCACTCAAGTGTGTTGGTACTGATTGGCCAGCTGTCCAGTTGTTATCTCCACTTAGATGTGTCCCACACTGTGTCAAGAAAGGAGCTCTAGAGTCTATATTCCACCTTTGTAGAACCCAACCTCCCCCTCCCTGATCTTCTTCATCATAGTGTTTCATTATATTTTACATCTGGTTGCTTAAAGCAGAGAGCCAGAAGCCATCCTTGAATCCCCTCTTTCATCACTCCTAATACACAATCCAACTTCACTTTCCTGCACTTTCTCCAAATCATATCTAAAATCCATTCGTAATTCTGCATCTCTCTTTCACCACCTTACTCTGAGGCAGTTCTCTACTTACCTCCTCATTTTTTCATACTTCCTTTTAATTCATTCTCCACAAAGCAGCCAGAGTGATTGTCTTAGAACCCAGTCAGATCATATTTCTGGCCTTCAGTTATTTCCTGTGTCTTAGAATAAAATCCAAACTCCTGATTATGACTTACAAGATCCTATAATATCTAGCCCAGCCTCCCTCTCAGACCTTACCTTGTGCCACTCTCTTATTCCAGCCATGCTTTCAGTTTCAGCCACTCACTACTATCTTTACCAGGGCTTTACTCGATCCAGAATGCTCATCCAGGCTTTTTGTTTGGCTGACTCATTCTCTTCTTTCAGAACTGAGCTTAAAGATAATTTCTTCTGATAGTTCTTTCCTGATTACCTTCTTGATTATCTATTCCAGTGCATTGTTGTTTTTTTTAAAGATTGAAATACAGTTGATTTACAATATTGTGTTAGTTTCAGGTATACAGCAAAGTGATTTCAGTTATATACATATATATATAGATAGATAGATAGATAGATAGATAGATAGATAGATAGATAGATAGATAGGTTATTTTAAGATATTGAGGGCTTCCCTGGTGGCGCAGTGGTTGAGAGTCCTCCTGCCGATGCAGGGGACACGGGTTTGTGCCCCAGTCCGGGAAGATCCCACATGCCGCGGAGCGGCTGGGCCCGTGAGCCATGGCTGCTGAGCCTGCGCATCCGGAGCCTGTGCTCCACAACGGGAGAGGCCACAGCAGTGAGAGGCCTGCGTACCGAAAAAAAAAAAAATATTGAGTATAGCTCCCTTGCTATACAGTAAATCCTTGTTGTTGATCTATTTTATATATAGTGGTGTGTGTCTGTTAATCCCAAACTCCTAATTTATCCCTACCCTCCCCCCTTTTCCCTTTGGTAACCATAAGTTTGTTTTCTGTGTCTGTGAGTCTGTTCCTGTTTTGTAAATAAATCCATTTGTATTACTTTTTAGATTTCACATGTGTGACATCATATAATATTTGTCTTTGTCTGATTTACTTCACTCAGTATGATAATCTCTAGGTCCATCCATTTTGCTGCAATACTTTTCTTTCTATTACATCACAATTTGAAATTATTTTATTTTTCCCATTTACTTTTTTTTTCTTAAATGCCTCTCTCACTAGAAGACAGGTTTCATGATGTCAGGGCTCATAGTTCACCTTTGTGTCCCTGGTGCTTAGCGTACTACCAGACACATAGTGGGCACTCCCTATATTTGTCAAATATGAAAAATGCATCTGTATTACTTTTAGCATAGTTTATGTAATAAATCAAGACGCATATCAGTGGTTTGATTTAATTCAATCTAATAGGTAGACCAGATTTCCCTAAACAATCTTTGCTTCTAGTTAGCTCATTTTATTTATCTCATTTACTTTATGAAAGCATTTTAAATTGACTTTTCTTCACCTTTTTACCTAGGGTATTCTGATAGCAAAGAGAAGATGCAAAATTTAAGGTAAGAATAATGCGTGCAGTAGTGGAAGGTGGGACTCTTGGATATTCCTACTCTAATCTGGGCTTTAATCTTTGCTCTTAGAAGTCCTGCCCTGAGACTTTGGGATCTAAATTTTTACTGCTTCCTTTTTGCTTTAGGCCTAGATTTACGAAATGCAAATTTAACATGTTGCTCGGTTTTATTCTTGATCCCTAATCCCTCTAGCTTCTGTAGTCCTAAAGTTAAGGTAGAGAATTTGTCTCCCATTGATAGGAAATGCTTATATATTTCTGATTAAAGGGCTTTTTCAGTGAACTGACCCTTCAGCTGATTGAGTACTTACTACATCCAGGTTCTGGGTGGCCACTGGTTTACAGATGTGAACAAGAAACTCAGAATCTACTCTCAGAGCTTTTACAACCCAGCCCAGTTCTTCTTAACTCTGATTGCCTATTAGAATCATCCAGGGCACTTAAGTATACTATTGTCAACCCCAGAGCAAATAAATCAGAATCTTTGGGGACGAGGCCTAACCATAGGTATTGTTCCAAAAACTTTCAAGAAAAAAGTGATTCTGTCCGCTGCATACTCTCTAAACCACTAATAATTTTAGACTAAATCTAGATCGTATAGTTATGAAGACAAAATAGTCTGCAGTAAAAAAGTCAAATAAGATCAAATAAAATATTTAATCATCACTGGCTTTATATTTTCTGTCAGTATTCTTTATTAGAGCTGAAACTTGAAATGTGGTAATATCAATAGGTAATATTTACATGCAATAATTCATTCTTTATGAAATTATTTGGTTAATGTTCATCTCCACCTATAAATGTAAACTCCATAGAAAATTAGGAACTTGTCTGCCACATTAACAACTGTATCTCCTAGCACACACCTGATTCTTAGTATGCATTTGATATTTGAGGATTGAATGAATAAACGTTCCTTACAGCAGCCCTGTGAGATAGAGTACTTATTCCCATTTTATAGATGAGCACCCTGAGACACTAAGTTTACTAATATACAGCCTCTAGGGGATTTTTGTGTTTTGTTCACTGTTGCATCTCTTGATGCATAGAACAGTATAAACACGTTAAATAGTTCTTGAATGAATAAATGAAAAAAGCAAATCCAACTTACCCAAGATTACATGGGTGGTAAGCAACAGAGGCAGAATTCAAACTCAAGTCTCATTGGATCCATAACACATTCATTTCTCTTACTTTTTGAAATTGTTCAAGCTGACATAATAATTGAAGTAATAATGCAAGGAACAGTAGAACCCTTCACCTAAGCGTGTCATTTAATATTTTGTCACATTTGCTTTATCTGTTTCTCTATTTACATACATATATTTTTTTTCTGAACCATTTGTAAAGGTGTTTCAGACATCTTGACATTTCACCTAAACACTTCAGTCTGCGTTTCCTCAGAATAAGGACATTCTCTTAGATAACACAATGCCATTTTTATACCTAAGAAAATTCAGATTAATTTGAATTTGTGCAGTTATTCCCCAGACAACTTTCATTACTATTTTATGTTTCCCCCGCCTAGTCAGGACCTGATCAAGGATCATATACTGCCTTGGTGGCTATCTCTTCAGCAAAGCCCATTCTCTTAACTCTATTCCATGTTGCCTGGGATGCTTAACTCAACTGCATCACTTTATTTCCACAGCCTCATCACTTTGGCCAACCTCCCTCCCTCGGGGTTAGCAAATACAGCAGGAGAGAGGACACATCCAGAGGAAAACATCTATATCACTGAGGAGAACGTATATGAAATGGAGGATCCGTACGAGTATTACTGCTCCGTCAGCAGAGGGAATCAGTCCTGACAACCCCTGGGCTGTTGTCTTTCAACGCCACCAGCTTCACCACTTCCTTTTGGGGTTTGGTGTTATCTTCTTTGAAAACTATGAGATGGCTCGACTGACTGGTTTTAGGGGTTCTGTCCTTGGCCACCGAGCAGAGTTTTTCCATGTTCTAAAGATAAGTAGCTCACCCGAGGATTGAACGGGGACCAGCATTGTACTTAGACAGGTACAACATTACCTCTGTGTTCCCGCCACCCAACTCGGAGACTGCTAATCAGGGCATTAGAGCTCAAATGGGCTTTTATAGAGAGTAGGAATTCTTAATATGGGGTCTCTGGAATTCCAGATATTCAGTTATATGGTGTGTCCATGAAGCTCCTGAAAATACAGGGGAAATTATGTGCTGAGATACGTGCGTGTCTTTTTCGGTACAGGAAGTCTAAAGGGGCCGCCGATTCTCAAAGAGCTCTGTGAACCGTAGCAGGTTCGGAAACTATTGGAGTAGGAGTAGATGGTCTTGAAGGTTCCCTTTGAGTCTCAAGGTTTATGCTTCTTTGAATGTTGACTCTGTGACAGTAAGTGCCAGTGCACAGCTCTCCTTGGCCTAAGTTAGGAAGACTGCCCAGCAAGGCCTGTGGTATGGCAGGTGCTCCTGGAGAAAAAGGAAGTATTTTTAGTGTGTGTTGACAGGTTTTACTTAGGGTGCACTCAGAGGGAAAGATCTCTGACCAACTTCTCCATTCATGGAGAGAACTGGAGCTGTGTTTTTCACAAAAGAAGAAGCAGTGACTGGGACACAAATTCTGTTTCCTGGTGGAAAGTAGGTAAAGGGCTCCGGCCATCTGTGTTTGTCCCTGTCAGATCCCCTGATGGAAAGACAATGGCCCTTAAGCTTCAGTTCCAAGATGGTAGAGAGTAGGTCTATCTTGCCTATTCGCTTCCTCCCCAGTCTTGGCACAGCTCTGACACATAATATGGATGGAAATTTACTAAATATCTTTGGAGTGAAAAAATTAAAGAAGCAGAAAGGTAGATTTCTGGGAAGACTTTTCCATTGGAGAGCTCAGATAGAGCTTCACTTGTTGGGGAACTCGAAAATACTTCTAAGCTCCCTTTTCTGCTCTTGTCCAGCATCTGCTCTTCTCAGCATCCTCTCCCTTCTCAGGCCCTTGGAAGTGTGTTATTGTCTTTTTTCCCGTTTCTGCTGAATGAATCAACAATAGGGACCTGTCGCTGCCTGAAAACTGCCTTCCCCAGGTGATGACTGAGCTGCTACTGCATTGCATGCAGGAGATGTTGGTCACCAAGGATGCAGGCAGCCTGTCTGTTGCAGTGTTTGGGCTGCATCTGGGCAGTATTGGGAAGCACTGGCTTTCTACAGGGAGATCATTTTGCAAAGTTCCAGGCAGTAGCTTTTAAACAAGCTGAAAAATTAAGTGTTTTAAATTTATGAAATTCTAGAGGGAAGGGACCACAGAAAACATATGGACCAGATTAATGATTCCCCCACAAAAGGGATTTTTATTCTGCAAAAATCTTTACACAAGGATATGTATACAAGGACGATCATTGCAATGGTGTTTGTGAGAGACGTTTTCCATCAGTTGAGGAATAATTGGTTACTGTGGTATGTCAACACACTGGCACAAGTAAAAAAAATTCGGTGGTTTCATCATTGAGCTGTTTTGCTAATTCAACAAATATTAAGTGCTTACTCTGTGCCAGGTTCTCTGGTGCTGGGATCATAGAGAGAGACCAAATAGACACATCTCTGACCCCATAGAACTTCTGATTGATCTGACAGGAAGGATGATTTCATTCATTCATTCATTCAGTCATTCTTTCAGTGAACATTTTTTGTCACCTACTTTGTGCCAGACACTGTTTTAGTTCCTAGAAATATAGCAGTTAAGGAAACAGACAATATCCCGACTCTCACAGACCTTGTGTTACTTGTCAAAGGAGAAATCTGTATTGCTAAGTCAAAAGAAAAAAGAGTTCTAGAATACTATATATAGTTAATGCTAATTTTTTTTTTTTGCCTTTAAATAATCCAGAAGAATATTCCCAAATTAATATGGTTATTCCACAAGGGCAAATAGTCAAAAGATAGAGTTTCACTTTTTGCTTTTATGTGCTTCTATAATTTGAATTATTTTATCCATTTTTTGTAATAAAAAAAATAGATTTAAATACTGTAGCAATGTTTTCCTGTCCACCCTCCTCCTCATAGAAAGAAATTAAGACTTGGATAAGTTAAGTTCAAGGTCAAGGCGGGCAGTAGAGTGCGCCAGCACTCTAGACGTGTCTAGAGTGTTCCAGCAGAGATTGGAACCCTGGTTTTCAGGGTAGGATCCACTCTACATCAATTATTTGTAATACAGAAGATGGAAGAAAGGGTAACAAACTATCAAGCTACCCCAGAGGATCTGAGCAATGGCAAGTGGTCACTTAATTAAAAACAATGTAAAAAGATTGAATGTGTGGTTTGCTCTTAGAAGTGCTTAGGATTTTTCTTCCAGAGCTCTGCCATAGAGACCCACAGTACAAGAAGAGGCTCCCTCATCTCTTCAGACTGAAAAATTAAGGTCTTACCATGTTTTAACTGCCTATCACTTCTAGTGTTAGAATACCCCAGGCAGAAATTCCAAGTGGTTTAACCTGTCATTCATTTATTTGGGGGCATCCCTTCATGCCTAGTCCCATATAAATTTAATTCTCATTTAAGTTTGAATTAAAAAAAACTGAATACAAATTAATTTTCTGTCCAGATTTCTACTGAGAAAGTCTTTCTAGAGGTAAGTAGAGATGCCCTTAGTGCTGTAATTTTTAAGATTCTTGTCATCCTTTTCTGGGGCTCAGTTGGGAAGTGGGAAAAAGGAGAGGGGCAGCTGGAACACTTGGTTGGAGGGTTCTCAAGCTTCAGGAGGGCTCAGATTTTGGCCTATTTTCAGTGGAAAACCTATGCAATGGAGCAATATGAGTCAAAAATATGAGTTTCAGGATTCTAGATCCTCTAATATCTTTTTTTTCAGTTGTATTGACTAATTATAAAGGTCATTCCAAGTCACTCTTTTATTATTAGTAGTTTTCTTTTGTAAATTCTTGGTCAAACTCCTTCTGCTTATGGTGTGACTCTTTTTCCAGAGAAAGCAGTGATGTTTAAAGAAAAAAAAAGTTATTTAAGCTATTCAGGTGTGGTGGTGGCACTGGGACATCTGTTTAAATACCCACATTATTTTAATATAATTGTTTTGTGGGTGGGTCACCTTTGGAAAATATTTTATTATAGCTTTATAGTCTATACTTAACAACCTGCTTCATGATAAGTTGACATGTCCTTTGTAATTTCTACATTTTGAAATTGTACTTTTTCATGCATTTTACACTTAGTTCGTGTAAAATAGAAATATTTCACACTCCAATGCAGTGTTATCTTCTTTTGGTCAGTTCTGAAATATCCTTATATCCATATATCTATATCGAATCTGTTTTAAATTTTATTACCCAGTTTTACTTGCCATTCCTGTTCACTTGCGTGCAGAATTTAGTTCTTGTTCTGGAAACCCTTAAGTAAAAAGTAACAACTGTAAAAATATAGGTGAAGGTTGCTATACTAATCATGTAGATTTTTTATTCATTTCTTTATCCCAAAGTTCACCACAAGATCTTACCAAAAATCTCTTGACCTTAATCTGAGGGCTGAAGCAAGGAGCCAATGGTGAGGGGCTTTGAAAGCTGCCAGCTGTCCAGGCCACAGTGAAGTCCTCAGAGGGGTGGCGCCTTTCCTGTTCTCTCCAGCAAGGCTCCTACTCCAACAAAAATTACTGGTAGCTAAGCAGCAGCCAGACAGCTTCTAACCACCAGGGAAGAAAGGAGTTTTCTGAATAGATGGAATTTCAGGTGAGAACTAGGGAATATGACATTTAGTTTTCCTAGCTGCCTTATTTCAAGCAAATGTGTTTACAAGGAACTCTGGGTGGGCAAGCTAACTTGGAGCCAATTGCTTTACAGTACGTTGAGACTCTGAGTAAGAATCTCTAAGCAGAAAGTACATCTTGTTAGAGTGCTTGTTTCCCTTTTTATTTTTTTAGGTTTTTATTTTGAAATAATTTGAGATTTGCCAAAAAATTGCAATGATAGTACAAAGAGTTCCTGTATTCAGCAGTTTTTTCAGTTAACAGCTTATATAACCATGGTACCATTTGTCAAAACTAAGATCTTAACATTGGCACATGACTATTAACTAAACTACAAATTTTGCTTGGATTCCTACTACTGGCTTTTAAAATTTTAAATTAAGTGCTTTTTGAAAAATAGAGTTTAAATTAAAGGTGAAAGTCCCTATTCTGTGTCCTCTCTATCAAAATTTCTCCCCAGTCCTACTCCCCAGGAACAATCCTTCTAGGCCAGCACTGTCCAGTAGAAATACAGTGTTGTTGTTGTTTTTCATTTTAAGTCTTCACAATCCAGTGAGTATTTTCCATTTAGAGCACATCTCCATTCTGACTAGTCACATTTTAAGTGCTCAATAGCCACATGTCGCTATTGGCTCTAGAATTAGCAAAGTTCTGGGCCATTCTCTATTTTTTTTTTCTCTCTCTCTCTCTCTCTCTCTCACACACACACACACACACACACACACACACACACGGTAACCTAATTTCTTCCACTGCTTATAGAAGGCCATCGCTCCATGTCAGAATGGGACAACAGCCTTTACTTAGAGAGCTATGTAGTATTAAGTAGAACAAATGTGCATAACCTATTAAATCACTTTCGCATGCATAGATGTTTAGTTGGGTTTTTTTTCCCCCCATTTCAAATAAGGCTGCAAGGAACATCCTTTATTCAAAAACCTATGTGCATTTGTATACTTCCAACATATATGATTCTGGATATGGAAATGCTGTGTCAAAGGATGTGATTGTATTTGAAGTATCATGACAATAGAACAGTAGTATATATATATATTTTTTTTTTTTTTACATCTTTATTGGAGTATAATTACTTTACAATGGTGTGTTAGTTTCTGCTTTATAACAAAGTGAATCAGTTATACACACACATATGTTCCCATATCTCTTCCCTCTTGCATCTCCCTCAGAACAGTAGTATATTTTTGAACAAATATACCAGTCAGTGTATTACTAAATGCATATTATCTTTCTCAAGACAGTCATTTTAGAAAGCAATTTATTTCAACAGTGTTCCTTTCACTCAAAGTAATTTGTTTTGGGTTTTTGAAATTTGACTTAAGAATCAGTTTAAGCTAAAATAACTAGGCCAAGTGACTCTCGTAGGCCTTATCCCTTTGTAGTCACATTTAATATTTATTCACTCATTTATTTCCTCCCTCCCTACTCCCCTCCCTCCATTCCATCCATCCAGTTCCACTTTCGCTTTC